TCGACCTTGAGCTGGAGGAAGAACTTTTGGGCTTAGCTGCCATTATAGCCCCTTTCTGAGTCTTAGAGGCAGGTGCAGAACCTGCTACTGAGGGCTGTTGTTGAGCCTGTGGGGGATCCATCAGGGTTTCTTGGGATGGAGAGAGGCACTTCTCCTAAAGAAAGGAGTGGATGTGTTGAAGCCTTGATTTCAAGGCCAGCTTGGTAAAGCTTTTGCAGAAGATACACAAAGCCGGTTGGTGCTGCTCTCTGAAGCAAAACAAACACTGAGAATGCCTGTCAGAGAGGGGGAATCTTGTTAGAGCAGACCCCGCGCCTCTTGAAGAGGCCCAGCAAGGCCATAAACCTCGCAACTAGATAATATAACAGTCGTTTATATTTTTTCAGGTAAAGACAGCGAAGAATGGTCGACAGTCCAAAATGAAGCCATGGAGGTCCAAAGTAGGTAAGGTAAGAGGTTTTGCAATATGCATAAGTTCCAAACTAAGCTGCTGCAGCAGTGGCAAGAAAGGAACTGAGGCACTCGGTGCCGGGGGTAGAGTTATAGCCAGCATGTGGGAGGTCCTGGCACCATGTGCTTGAGCTCTGGAAAGTTCCGAGGCTGCTCTGCGCAGGTGCAGATTAACCCATTAGTGTGCATTCACAGAAACCACGCAGAAGAAGCAGATCCACAGATTCTACAACTTAATCTATCTCTACCACAACCATGGGGTTGCAATCCTATGCATAACTTACTGCCAGTAAATCTTACTGAAGACAGTGAAATCAATGAATCACTGGAACCTGTGATGGCCCAGAGGCCAAATTCCACTTCAGGAAATGATTTAGGGGGATGCTGTAGCTAAATCTAAGTGTACCAGTCTTAGCCAAATCACAGTGGGTAGAGCTAGATGAAATTCTTACCTATTTGGGACAGTTTTCTAGTGAAATTACAAAGTGCGGTTCAGGCTTATGCAAACTGTACTCAGGAGTATACAACACTGCAACAGTTTTATGGGCTGTGAACCAGAGCTCAGTCCCATGCAACAAATTTCAAGGTCACTAATCAGCAGAAAGGTTTACAGGCCAGATGGTGACCCTTAAGGGCTACATATGAATTGCAACTAGAGGTTTCCAATCCCTGAGTGTTCCCCATCCTTGAACTAGACATTGCAAAGGAAACAGAGCCCAGAAAACTCTGCATTTCCTTTCTTCTCTTCTGATTTAAATCTACATTATGGACTGGGCTTTTTCCCATGCCCCAACCTCAGTTCAGCAACCTCGCTCTTAAAAACATAGACAGGGAATCCAACTGCCCAATGATTTTGATCTAAATACTACATAAAGTTAGACGATAACAGACAGAAAGAAAAAATCAGGCCTTGTTGTTTGTAGTTTCAGTGAATCACAGTTTAGCAATATATTCATACCCTTAATTATGCATTTTGTGGATCCTAAACTATGCATCTGCTCTAAGTGTCTGTTTACCTTGTGTCTCTCCCTCTGAAATAATACCAGATATGTTTAGCATGAATGTTGCTGTGCCAGACAAGTTAATGTTAGACGGCCCAACTCTATGCAAAGCATTTTAAACAGGTGTGAACACGAAGCAAACTGTGTAGAGGGGAGAGAGAGACACACACACACACAGAGATAAACTGTGTAGAGGGGAGAGAGAGAGACACACACAGAGAGAGCGAGAGAGAGAGAGAGAGCAAAAGAGTTATATTCTAATTAGGAAGTTTAATGCTAGCACTGCTGGTTGTCAAGTCCATTCTGGATCCTGTAAATCAGATCTGTCTACCTCACCTATAATTGTATCATAAATAACTGCAGCTTTATTGACTAGTACATGAAATACAAGGATGTATGTCCATTCTCAGATCTCTAAATGCCTCTTATTTCCTCAACCCTCTTAGTAGCTATGTAGCTCATTCAATTGTGCTTCCGGTGATCTGATGCTAGCTGCCTCAAATGCTTTTGATATTGCCTGTTATTTAGCAAAAACTGACACATTTATTAATTGTACTCTGGTGGTTAAGAAAGAAAGAAAGAAAGAAAGAAGAAAGAAAGAAAGAAAGAAAGAAAGAAAGAAAGAAAGAAAGAAAGAAAGAAAGCTATGTAGTTTAAGATAGTTGATAGCTATGAAGCCAAAGTCCTTTCCACACGTACTGCTGAATACGGATGAGGGGAAAGATTATATACACTGTTCTTTCCATCTTCAATACACTCAGCTGACTAAATCTGTAGAAATTATGTATGGATACTAGAGCTGTCCCTCTGCAATCACTAATCCTAGGAAAAACACATGCTGTTAGATTTTAGTTAGAAAATAACAACATTCTTAACCTGTAGCATTGTTCCTTTGGTGTGTTCTATGCCTTACCTTTTGCACCTTGAATGCAACTAGAAAGCTTAATTATATTCATGTTTTAACCTTTTGCTTTTCTTTTTAATAAATTATTTCTTTTTAATAGACTCCTTCTCTGGGGCTTTATTCTTTGCAGAGTGTCTTAGTTAATCTAATCCAAAAGCCAGGCTTACTATCATCCAACAGTATGAGCGTGGTAGATTACATTTTAATTTCCCCTGACTTTCTTCCCAAACTTGTGAACTTTACGATTGGCTCTCATTCTGAAAGTGACCATCAACATGTTTTCTATCTTTATCTTGGGAGCTTCCCCTCCTAACTATTAGTATTATTCCCTCTGCCTTATATCATCATAAAATAGTCTGGTCAAATAAAACTAGAGAAGGTGATTGCTACAAACAAGGGAGTCACCAACCATGCATTTCATGATAGAGTTCTGGTAGCTGTTTTGCAGAGCAGGGCCACAGAGTTGTTTATATTAAGCTTTCAGGCAAATGTTTTTGCCAAACATCCACCCAGGATCATTGCCAGCAGCAGGCTGTTATGAATCATTCACACTTGGAATCTTTCTTGCCCAATTAAATATTATGTTTTCTATTAATCAAAGAACTGTGTAGTGGGATATATTTCCTCAGAGGGAGAAAACAACTTCAGATGAAATCTTTGCTTACATTTTTGTTTGTGCATGATTTCTGTGAACTCTTCTGGAAAACTATAATTTTCTGCCCTCTCAAATGTATTGAGCTAAATCTCATTGTTTGTGCCAACTAGAGTTGACACACAGAATCAGCAGAACTGCATAAAAATTAACTTATCAAATCCTATTTTTTTTCAGTAGGTCTACATTACCTGGGACTAAATATATAAATAGTTTTAGAATGGCAGTTACCTTGGTGTTTTTGTTACTACTCTGTTTTTATTTCTACATTATTCTTTGTTCCATCCCCAGAGTTGCACATTTTGTTGTTCAATCAATAAATCAATAAATACAGCTTTTCCTCCCAAAGTCAAGGCATTCCCTGCAGAGCATGACAGTTTATATGCTTAGCTGCGGACATAAAAGGTGCAAAATATATATTGCTATGGGAAAAAGCAAACTTGAGAAGTTTCTTCTCCATCACTATGGGTCTTTCCATTTACAGTGGTAATTAGTGTGGGGTGGATCAGGATACAAAAGATCTGTTGAGCTGGTGTGCTCCTTCCATCCCCACAGCAAACTACCCCTTGTGGCCCAATAAGCTATCAGTTCTGTGTTTCGGAGGTCAGGGAAAGCAGGTACTCTTTTCCCAGGCTAGATCCATACAAAGCAAGGTTTGTATAGCTAGAGTTCTAACTCCTGTCCTCTGAAGATGCCGGCCACAGAGACTGGTGAAACGTTACGAAGAAAAACCTCCAGAATACGGCCAAACAGAACAAAAAACCTACAACAGCCATCAGGTCCCGGCCCTGAAAGCCTTCTAGAATACAAGGTTTACTTGTTTTACTCACAAGTAAGCTTATCCAGTTTACCCATAAGTAAAGAGACAGCAGCAAGAGCAGCTGAGGACAGCTGCAGCACAAGGGGAGAAAATTGGTTTGAAACTTCGGGAGACAGAAGAGAGATAATTCCACCACCACGACCACCCTGTTTTTTCCCTGCCTTTCTCAGCGGGGGCTCTGCTACCTTGTGGCATTAGAGTCCATGGAGTCAACGTAGCCCCCTTCCCTGCCATTTCCCTCAGACTCATCCAGGAGGCTGGGGTGACTTTCCTTATTTTGTTTGTTGAAAAAATAAATGGCATCTCAAAATAGCAATGCATCAACCTGGCATGGTTTTAGAATTTCACTGTGTTAATTAGGAAAATATTAAAAGTAAAAGAACATAAAAATAAAGATGGGGGTTTCTCTGACCTCCCTTTCAATACCACAACCCACTTAGTGCACCACAGGGTTGTCTCCTCAGTTAACACCACGAGTATCATTTTGGTGAAATACCCTCCATGAAGGCTAACCAAAAAGCTATTTTGCATCTCACTGAATCATGACAAGAAGAATGCATGCTCTAGCCCTGTGCCAGAAAAGCTCTTAAAGGGGAAGGATGGATTGTTCTAAGTAGAAACAAAAGCAGACAATGCTTTTCTTTCTCGTGCCAAAGAGTGCCATCAGAGTTCCATATATCATAACTATATGCCAGTGTGGGCAGGCTCTTAGTCTATACTATGCTGCTGCCTACTGTGCAGTTTAGCAGTTATAGGAGAAAACCACTCATATGTACATGTACTGTAGGGCAGAGAGGAATGGCACAAGTACCTCCCTGGCCTTGATGTCAAGCCTCATAGCAAAAAAATAAATAAAATTCCACCACTATTTCAATTAATATTGTAACATCAGTTTGACAAACCCTTTACGTAGTTCTAGAATAGCACACCACAAAGGCCAGTTATATTTTCTGAAACCAAAAAAGTAAGCAGGTACTAATGTATGTTTAGCAACAGACTGTAGTTCAAAGAGTCTAAACTAGATGCAAAAAGAGACACACTTCGTAGTGTCTAAATCTTCGGGTCTGTGATCTAGCCTATTATATTGCACTAAAGAGTTGAGCTTACAGTAGAATCTACTCATGATGTATAACATTGCTTTGGTCTCTTTAAGGATATGATTAATCTACTTACTGCTACACCCGTCTTAAAAAGGAGGTAATGAACAGTCTGTGTGACATCTGCTGCATGCATTAGATTGTGATATGGATTTTTATGCTTGCTGTAGCCAACTTCCAGAGCTTCCACAAAGGAGACAAGAGCAGAAATTGGAATCTACACACAAACACAGGAAGGAAAATATATTTGAGAAGTAAAGGCACCAGAAGATGTTTTTAATTTTATTCAGATTTGGAACAACACTTTACCTGTTTTTGTACTTGCGGATTCTGAATTATTTTCCAAAAGAATACACCACCCCATCTATACATCATGAGAATGTGATAATGTGACCCTCAAATGTGTAGCTACATTCAACACTCAATAAAGGATTAAATCCGATATTACTCCTATTTATAAAACACACACTGAAAAATGAGACTAAAAATTCTAATTCATTTCACTACTCTAGATGAGGATAACACTGGATTTTGTCCCAAAGAACAATTAAATTGTCGCTTAGCTCAATCAAACCCACTTCAAATGGCTGCTATAAGCAAATAGAGTAGTAAATAAATGAGCACAGGATGTGAATACATATTGACACAATACCTAAAGAAAAATATAGAGATGAATCATTTCAATGTTCTTCTAAACAAAAGGGTCTCACAAAATGTTATTGTTGCCATTGTAACACAGCACCTTATCTAGTGCACATTCATAAATCACATTTTCATCTAGAATCAATGAAATTTTTTGCTGATTTTTCTTCTACTGCTCAGATACAGAAGAAGCAGAAGAAATGAATGGGCTCGATGCTATAGGGTCAAAAAGAAGAGGAAAAAAACAGTAGAGTCCAGTGGAAGACAGAGGAGGAAAATAAGCAGCCCTGGACAATACTAAAGCAAGGACAGTTTCTGCCTCCTACTGATTTATGAAGCACAGTTCCATTTTGGGGGTCAAATGGCAATTCAGAGAGAGAAAAACAAGAGATTCACTCTTTGCTCCTTTTGCTCCTCCTTCCACCATCCCATCCAAAATAATGCTAGATGAAAAGTGAAAGTTTATCAGGTTTAGTGAATCACTGTCTAGGAGAGGTTTTAAAACTAAATTGTTCACATTTTGTTTATTTTAAATTTATTTTAGTAATGCTTTCCTTAAGATTCCTAATATAATGCCAATTCATTTATTATTTGAATAATTCAGTGTTTTAGTTTCAATATTATATTTAAAGGATGTAAGCTGCCTTGGGTTCTGTCTTAGGAGAAAAGTGGGGTAAAATAGTTTAGATAGATAGATAGATAGATAGATAGATAGATAGATAGATAGATAGATAGATAGATAGATAGATAGATAGATAGATAGATAGATAGATTATTAATAATCATTGCTAGCTGTAGATGCACAGTAATTGGAAGGAAACCTCGACTGGATGGGGAAGACAACAAAACGAGAAAGGACAGTAGGGACAGGCCCAAATAACTATTGTGATGTGAACCATTCCTTCAGTCAAACTAATGCACACAACCCATGCTACTTCAAAGGAACAGAATGCAACCCTGTTCTGTTGAAATGCTGAAACACTATCATAAAGCAAAATATTCTGACTGAAATCATGTGGAAAGTGTATTACAGTCAGGTTGCCCAAAACACAAGTAATGCATAGGGCTAATGAAAACAGACATGAAATATGTCACCTTTACTGACCTTGAAACGGCTGATCAAATCATAGCGTGTAAGTAATTCGTAGAAAATGAATTTCAGTGCATGATCCCCACTTGCATCATTTAGTGCAAATACGTCGAAGGACCATTTGTCTACATTCTGTGGAGAGCAGGGAGGAAATCCAGCATTGGTGTGCGTTTTCTTTACAAGCCACAAAATGAAAACATCATTTTATGAAATATGAAGCTTAATTATGATTACTTATTTTGCAGTGCTTGCATAAACTTTCTGTATGGTCCTGTCTGACATGTTGCAGTGTCTGTAGTTGTAAGCAGGCAAACTGCACTCTGTTAAAAAAATGTTTGCCTTTCACTGTACCAAGTATAGGAAATCAGTTGTAAGAAACTGATTTCATTTTGAAACACATAGAAAAGCCAGCTATTTTAATGATAACATGCTATTTGGAAAGAGCTACATTTTAATTCCTATTTTTATTTGCTTGCTTGTTTACAGTGGTGCCTCGCTTAACGAGCGCCCCATTTAATGACAAAACTGCTTAGCGATGAAGAATTTGCGATCAAAAAAGTGATCGCATTGCGATGTTTTAAATAGGAAAAAATCGCTTTGCGATGATCAGTAAGCTTTCACTTACCGATTATCGCATAGCGATCTTTTTCCTACAGCTGATCGGCGGTTCCAAAATGGCCGCCGGAAAAAACCATGGGTGCCCGCTGTGTTTTGGGATGGATTCCTCGCATACCGGGCAGCGAAAATGGCCACCGTATGGAGGATTTTCACTTAAAGGTAAGTTTTTTGCCCATAGGAAGGCATTAAAGGGGTTTCAATGCATTCCTATGGGCTTTTTAAAATCGCTTAGCGATGTTTTTGGTTAGCTGCAATTTTTGCTGCACCGATTAACATCGCTAAGCGAGGCACCACTGTATTATGTTTATTTTCTGCTTTTCTTTTCATCATAGAACAAACAGTGAGGTACAAAAGACAGCTAACTCATCTCTCACCCACAAACTCAGACCTCCTTAGGTACAGCAGGATTGCTCCATTATAGTCCTTCAAAATAATAAATCAGTACTTATCCAAATTCTTAAAAATGAGAAGATGAAAAATCATCATGGTCATAACTCTCTTCTGGCTATATCTGCAATGTCCCAGTATGTCTGGTGATTGCAGCTGTACACAGATGGCTCACCATGCAGTAGTGGCTGCCACATGGATCAATGTTAAACAAGTGAATCAAAATAACATTCAACTCCTTCACTGTTAAATTGTTAATTGTATACCATCAATTAATGGTACTCAGTGGCCATTTAGTATACTCTTCGATGTCTACCTAACTAGAATAGTGCCAAAGGATTTTTAAATGACAATTTTAATTGCAGTTTTTAATCAGTGTAAATTCAAGTGTGCAAATGTAATGAACAGTGGTATAATAAAGAGACACCCAATTGTGCTGCAAATCAAACTTACAAGGCAATTTTGGTTAACACGATTCATACATTATACATCTGATTATAAAATGAATATCCTAAATGCAGTCTGGCTGTAATTTTTCCCTAGAGAAAAAGCAACACAGTGGGAAAGACACACAATGACATTACGTATATTGCCTGGTGAGAAAATAAAATTCTGAAAGCAAGATGTAACATAACAGCTCTGCTCTCACCTGTCCGTCACAGCTGGGCAGGGGAACATCAGCCAATGAGAGGACGGAGGGTGGTGCAGAAGGGGGAGGAGCTGGATTATATAAGGGGTGTGTGTGATGTGTGAGGGAGAGAGGTTTGGAGTTTGGGAGATGAGAGAAATTGGTTGAGAGAGTGGGATAGATTTGTGAGAGATAGTCAGTGAGGGAAAAGTCTGTGTGAGGTACATTAAATGAGAAACTAGATTTACAACTTGATTTACTACCTGTGATTCACTCCTTTTTATTTTGTCAAATCAATAAACAACGTTTTGTTTTAGAAGAAACACTTGTCCTTTGTGATTACTGAATAAAGTTGGTGGCAGCAGTTTAAAGAACAGTAGTGAGCACTCTGGGAGGCCTGAGTAGACAGAAGCTTCAGAGTGGTCCGCTACACAAGAGTACACATTTTTAGTGTGCTCTGGATTTTCCAGATGCTATTTTCACCAACATTCTAACTACTTTTATTCTATCACACAAAAGAAAGATTATTTGGAGGAAATAGAAATGGTATTGTTCTGAAATTATAGCCTTTGACTGTGGTGTCATTAGTAGGAAGTGGGACAGCTCAGCTGGTGAGATTGAACCTTCTTAATTCATGTTAGAATCAGCTACACTACAGTTTCCTATCTGATCTGCAGGTAACATTTAAAAAAAAGTGGAGAGATTGAACCTTCTTAATTCATGTCAGAATCAGCTACACTACAGTTTTCCTATCTGATCTGCAGGTAACATTTAAGGCTAATGTAGCAAGCATGGCTACTATGTAAAGCCCATTAGTGTCAATACTTAGTTGCAATTTGGTGTATGCTTACACCAGGGGTTCCCATCCTTGGGTAGCCCAGGTGTTCTTGGATTGTAATTCCCAGAAGCCTTCACCACTAGTTTTGCTGGCCAGGATTTCCAGGACCTAAGTCCAAGAACATCTGGGTTATTCATGTTTGGGAACCACTGATTTATAGGATGTTGTTGTTAAGTCCTGTCTGACACACTGTGACCTCATGGACGAGTCAGCCTTCTTTATGGTCCTGCTCTCACTTCCATACATCGCTACTGGAAAAACCATACCTTTGACTATGTGGACCTTTGTTGGCAAGGTGATGTCTCTGCTTTTTAAGATGCTGTCTACGTTTGTTGTCGCTTTCCTCCCTAGAAGCAGGTGTGTTTTAATTTTGTGGCTACTGTCACCACCTGCAGTGATCATGGAGCCTAGGAAAGTAAAATCTGTACCTGCCTCCATATCTTCCCCTTCTTTTTGCCAGGAGGTGATGGGACCAGTGCCCACAATCTTTGTTGTTGTTGTTTGCACTCTTCTTTTTCACCCTCATAAAGAGGTTCTTTAATTCCTCCTCACTTTCTGCCACCAGAGTGGTATCATCTGCCTATTTGAGGTTATAGATATTTCTTCCGGAAGACTTAATTGCAACTTGGCAGTCATCCAGTCCAGCCTTTTGCATGATGCATTCTGCATATAAGTTAAATAAGCAGGGAGACAATATACAGCCTTGTCATACTCCTTTCCCAATTTTGAACCAGTCATTTGTTCCATATCCAGTTCTGACTGTTGCTTCCTGTCCCACATGTAGATTTCATAGGAGATAGATAAGGTGGTCAGGCATTCCCATTTCTTTAAGAACTTGCCATAGTTTGTTTTGGTTGACACAGTCAAAGGCTTTTGTGTAGTCAATGAAGCAGAAGTAGATGTTCTTCTGGAACTCTCTAGCTTTCTCCATAATCCAGCACATGTTAGCAATTTGGTTTCTAGTTCCTCTGCCCCTTCAAAATCCAGCTTGTACTTCTGGGAGTTCTCGGTCCACATACTGCTGAAACCTGCCTTGGAGGAGTTTGAGCATAACCTTGCTAGCGTGTGAAATGAGTGCAATTGTATGGTAGCTGGAGCATTCTTTGGCACTACCCTTCTTTGGGATTGGGATGTAGAGTGATCTTTTCCAATCCTCTGGCCACTGCTGAGTTTTCCAAACTTGCTGGCATATTGAGTGTAGCACCTTAACAGCGTTACCTTTTAAGATTTTAGATAGTTCAAGTGGAATGCCATCACCTCCACTGGCCTTGTTGTTAGCCATGCTTTCTAAGGCCCACTTGACTTCACTCTTTAGGATGTCTGGCTCAAGGTCAGCAACCACACTATCTGAGTTGTTCAGAACATCCAGATCTTTCTGGTATAAGTCCTCTGTATATTCTTGCCAACTTTTCTTGATGTGTTCTGCTTCTGTGAGTCACTGCCATTTTTGTCCTTTATCATGTCTATCTTTGCACAAAATGTTCCTTTAATATCTCAGATTTTCCTGAACAGATCTCTGGTTTTTCCTTTTCTATTATTTTCCTCTATTTCCTTTCATTGTTCATTTAAGAAGGTCTTCTTGTCTCTCCTTGCTATTCTTTGGAAGTCTGCATTCAATTTTCTGTAACTTTCCCTATCTCCCTTGCATTTTGTTTCCCTTCTCTTCTCTGCTATTTGTAAGGCCTCGTTGACAGCCACTTTGCTTCCTTGCATTTCCTTTTCTTTGTGTTTGTTGCTGCCTCCTGTACAATGTACGAGCCTCTATCCAAAGTTCTTCAGGCACTCTGTCCACCAAATCTAGTTCCTTAAATCTTTTCTTCACTTCCACTAATTATACCTAACTAGCC